TCGGTACATTAAACAAATATTATTAAAGCCTATTTAATTATTTTACCATAATATGACATATAAATATGACAAAGCATCACTATCAACTGAACTCCACTCAGAATCGTTTTTTCGTAAGCAATGGTTTATCGTTGCTTACAGATATACATTAAATTACCATAAATACAAAAATAGAATAAATAACAGTGGCTGCACCCATCTCCATTATCTTAAGACGTCTTTTTTATTTTAAAATGTTTCACTCCAAAGTAAACCTTATTCAAGTGAATAGCTCTGTATAAGCTGTAAAAAACACGTTGATGAATTTTTAAACATTCAATATTAGGGGTCTATGAAAAACAGAAAAAATTGGCACGTGGTCTATGGGGTAAAAATGTTTGGGAACCTCTGATATAAATATATGAACAAGAAAAAAAAACAAAATAAAATATTACATATTGAAGTAAAATTGTAACCATATAATGAAATTTAGCATATAGTGTTCACGGCCAATGAGGTTCACTTTTTAGAATTTTATTTTACATCCAACTAAATGTTATTCAAATTAGTGTTAATTAAAATGTATTTACTATACATACCTACTTAATATAAATATTATACCTAATTATATATGTGTTATTTATTATTTAGACAATTATTTATGATAGGTAGTTTATTTTAAGGGATAATAAAAAGTAGGTAGTGTAGCATTCCATTATGTGAACTATAATAGTTATATAAATGGATAATGAATAATTATAATTTATAAACACTGTTGATCACTAATCAGTGGAAGAACAGACAAGGATCTCCTAGTATTTGTAGTTTGTAAACGATGTATTTATATAAAAGAATTTGACCTTTGCATTTTTAAGTTAAATTTGTCAGTGATAAATTTCTATGAATAACCATGATTGTAAAATATATACTTTCAAGTAACTACTTACATAATATATTCCAATAGATATATAATTAAATTATAATTCAATATGTTCAAATATTATAGGATTTAATTACATATGCTTTAAACAAAATAATAAATTACCCTTATACTTAACTATCTAAGTTATGACAATGATTCATGAACAGCTAGTACTATACAAAATTAAATGATTTGGGTTGGTTAAAACAATAACTATAATTTCTGTTTACTGGGTTACCGGACTACTAATGAAAAAAAAAATAAGATAATAATGGGTAGGTAGGGCACAAATAATGTACTGACTAGCGGGGTATAAGTCAATAACTAACAATATATACAATAATGAAAAAAAAGTTTTATAAAAGGTTGATGTCTAATTAATGTAGTGCGACAGTTATGTACGGCAGTGATTGGTGACAGTAGTGGTCAGCCATGATCCTCTTCGGTCATGAAACAATAGGTCGCCAGCACTAAATAATTGTTCAAAATGGGTGCTGGACGGGATTTTTGTATTCAATTTGAAAATTCTGAGTTGCAAGATATCGATGACAAAACGATGAAAACTAACTTGTTACTATTTTAATAAAAATAAAAGTGACTCGTTAAGTTACTCTATCATACACGCACAAAAAGTAACTCGTTAAATTACAAGTTACAAGAAAACTAAAAGTAACTTACAAGTTATAAAGTTACTGATATTGGTAAAATTTTAACTTGTTTGTAACTTTGTAACCATATTTACTGCCCAGTTTTGGCTGATGGTGGTATTCGGTATAGTGCACCGGGTGGACGATTGTGCAGTGATCTCAATATAAATCAGAACACGTACTACGTGACGTACAGATCTCAATTAAATAATTCTTTGTATCCTCCCTCCTAATTTTCCACCAACAACAATAGAACACTTGTCTCCGGTAGTCCAGTACTAATTTGCTCTTTTTTTGTTTACAACTTTTTATCGAAACTTGAAAAGATTGTTGAAAACTAATAATATAATTTTTCATTCCAATTCAGCAAAAAATACTAACTCATATTTTATTCTGAATGTTAACAGTTTAAATACAAGAATAATTTGTCTCGTTCCTTAGTTATTTAGTTGCGAGTAATCTATATTCTATACTTAATGATAATATACCAAAATAAAACTAGGTAAGTACGTGTAACAAAAATACACAAGCTAATGGAAATTCGATTGTTTTTATTTAAAAGTTAACAGTTTTAACTAATAGTTAGTACTTTGTAGGACTGAACTAATGGTTATCACTATTTCCTCTTTAACTAAACGATTTATCAAATATCAGCTAAGCTAACTATAAGTCTAACCTAACCAATTAATTTAATTGGTACTCTTTCTTCTTCTCTTTTTTTTTTAGATTCTGAGTGGAGCGAAGAAGTTCATGGTTTTACAAAGATGTTTACTTTTTTTTTTTTTTTTTTGAACAACCTTTCTACCAGAGAACTTCCTCCAATTTTTACGTGTAGCACCGTTTTTGAAAGGAAATCGGTGTGCGGTGGTACTTTAAGAAGGTCATTTTTCGATTATATCAAGAGTTTTCTCGTCAAATGTGAAAAATAAAAAGCGAAAAAAAACCGGAAAAATTTAAGAAATAATGTGGGTTTTAGTTAAAACTATTACGGCCTTCTTTTTTCCTATGGACAATTTTTTACAAGTAATTTTGCTCTAATTTATAATGATAGCAATATTTCTAAAAAGAAATTTAACTGGGGAGATACTTTAGGGAAGTATATTGATTTCACCCTTAACCTTTGGTTAGAATAGTTAGATAACTGAGGACCGGTATTTCAATTACATTTAACTCCAGGTGAATCAAACTTAATTGGTGGTTAACATTATCTACCTATTAAACTGTTTATAAAAGTCCCAGTTAAGTTAACTGCCACTTTAACTACCAGTTAAATTAACCGCTACAATCTCTTTCCGATTAATAGATTTACCACGGTTAAGGTAATTATTATTTACAATTTATCTATTATTCACATCCAAAAATAATTATTTATATTTTAACCACGGTTATAGATAGAATAATAACTATATTTCGTACATTTCCACGTTTTTCCTTGGTTTTTTTTTCGGTTTTCCACATTTATAGAGAAAACTCCTGGGAAAATCAAAAAATGACCTTCTAAAAGTATACCTTTCCAATCAAATTTCAGAAAAAATGATTTTATTGTGAATCGGAGTAAGATTTCTGGTAGGTCAGGTTAGGTTTGCAAATCCATAGGCTTCTTCGGTCCCCTCAGAATCTAAATAATCAATTATTTAAACTAGTTAATATGTATAAGTGTAATACGCATAACAATATTATAAGTAGTTACTACATCGAATGATACAACTAAAAATCAAAATAGTGAATTATAAATACAATTTAAAAATTATTAAATTTATTTTTATTTTGTCTAACATTTTTTTAACATAAACTAGTGATTTCCGTAGCCATCAACTTTTTAAAGTCAACGTTTAATAATAAACTTTCAATACAATTTTTCATCTAAATCTAATCTCCGATTTGTTAGATTCACTCTTGTTTTAGAAATAATTATTAATTCGTAAAATATTAAAAACAGTACATTAAAATTTTGATAAAAAAAAAGAAAAACATTTTTTTTAATTTTTATTTTGTCTGCTTGAATATTATTTGATTATGTAATTAAAGAGTTTTGTAAAATTTAGAACACATCTGTCAAGTTGGACCTGTTTTTTCGGGCTTTTAAAATTGAGTTTAATAGTTATTTATTAGCTAAAATTTTCACAAATTACGATTTTACAATCTAATTTGATAAGAACTTTTAAAATACCATCATATCACAATAGATTATAACACAATCACTGTTAGTATAAAAATATATGAAATTCTCAAAAATTCATTATGAATACTTTTAGATTCTAAGTGGGCGATGGTTTTATAAAGATGATGTTGAGATTTTCTCAGGAGTTTTCCCGAGAGTTCTCATGGAAAAACGGGAAAATATTCGAAATATATTAGTATATTTTACTACAGCCTTTTTTTCTTATAAATCATGAACCAGCAATTTTCTCTTAGCAATGTACAACGTTTTTTTACCGAAAACGTACCTAAAAAACTAGCTTAGTTCTTAATGGATATGATATACATGTTAAGGTAAAAGTAAGAATACCAGTAAAACCTAGGATATACAAAATAGTTTGCTCAAACCGAAAATTAATTTTGTAGTTGGAACTTTTATAAATAATATTTAGTAAATCTTAAGATAAACAACTAGTGCTGGTAAAAGTCTAAAATTTAATTTTAGATTCTGAGTGAAGCGAAATCGTAAACACACATTTTTAGTGGTTTTCCATAATAATTTGGAAAACAGAAAAAACGAAAAAAAAACGTAGGGGAACTGGAAAATTTTAGACTTTTATTATTTTCAATTTTGTTTTTTTATTGGGATTAAGTTAAAAATATTCGTGTAAATTTTGACATAAAACTTATATTTACCTTTTGTAGACGTCGTACATCAGGAGAGAGTAGGGAATCATCTAAAAGTTGATATGCAATTTATTATCTTTCCCTACATCTCTGGTCTAATGTTAAAAGTGAGGATTAGGTTGCCATCGAAAGTTAACAATAATTTAAAGTATAAAAAGTAGTGGTAAATATTTGAAAAATAGTTTAGAATACATTATTTGTTTATTTTGTACATATATAATTAGTTCTATAAAAATTGTAAAGTGATTATTATTATTAGTGATGAATGTTAATTTTTAATGTTAGATAAATATTAATAATGTTTGTTAAATAACATAGTTGCAACTGTAAATAAAAAATTGTAGCTATACAATCACAGAAATTACCGAATAGATGTATATGAAAGTATAAATTATTTAATTTACTTTTACACTACATTATATTTTCCTCCTGATAAATAATCGAATTTCAGCATCTCTATTGGTTTTTAACTTTTTATAATAAAATGTTTGAAAAAAACACGAATATTGGTAGGAACCTACCTAGTTCACAATTGCGTACTACAACGTTGTCCGGGCAAATCAGACCTTCCTGGGTACGGTATTTGTAAATATTTACATACCAAATTATTGTTTACAATTTGCAGGATGAATTCGGCTCTTTTTGTGGATAAACAAACAGTGAGTTGAAATTATTTTAGAATCCGAAGTCCATATCTGCGCTTTGTACAGTAACCACCCAGACGCCTATACAAATAAAAACGTGCATACAATATTATACTAAGTGTACACAGCATACATATCTGAGCGAAGCGACGAATGTATTGGTTTTACAACGATGTTTGTTTTTTATTTTATCTGTGAACAGTTTCTTTACCAGAAATCTAGCACTTATTTTAAATTGTGGTACCTTTTCGGTAAGAAAATTTTTTCTGAGTGGTATTTTAGAGAGGTTATGTACAATTTAAGAAATTTATTAATTTCAATTTTGTTTTTTTGTTGTGATTCAGTTAAAATTATTTGTAGAGACTTGAAATTTGGACAAAATACTTATATTTTCCTTTTCTAAAGGTATTAAAGTTTTTAAAGCATTTAGACCATTTTTAAGCTGTTAATAGATATTTTAATTTTGCGAGTTTTTTCGTAATTTTTATTTAGTAGGTTTTATATAGATAAATTGTTAGATTTAACAAAAACGCTTGAAAATTTGATTGGAGATTCATTATAAGTCGTGGTTAGTGGTAAAAAAAAAAAAAATTAAGTGTAATGTAAGAGTTGTAAAATCAAAATTTGATGAAAATTAAATATTCAAAACATGCATTACTGAAAATCGCTCTGAATCGTTTTTTGTTAGTAATGGTATATCGTTACTTAAAAGAATAAATTAAAAAACTTTGTGTATCCTATACCTTCTCTACTTTCCTCCTATAACAGTAGCACAACCTTCTTCAGTATCAGCTCTTTCCTTTTTTTTTTTTTTTTTTATATTAGTACTTTTTCCGAAAGGAAATTTTATCTTGTTTGAACATTGATGAGGTTATTTTTTGATTTTCCAATGGGTTTTTATGATAATTAAGAACAACTGAAAAAAAAAATAATTGAAAAAACGGCAAATATTTACGGCGCGCCGTGGTGTTTTAATTTTTACAAACTATGTTTTCTACCAGAAATATTGCTTTAATCAAAAAATATCTAGATATTTTTTTTGTTGGATCTATATGAACGTAGAAGTTTTGATAATAACATAGGAAAACCAAAAAAGACAATAATGAAAATGAAAAACGAACAAATTTACGGCATACGATTTCATTGTTTTAAATTTTTACGGTTTGTTTTCTACCAAAAATATTGCTTCACTAGAAAAACGACAAGAGACTTTTTTTGTTGCATTTTTAATCTTATTGGTGAGTAAGAAGGTCGTTTTTTTTTAATTTTCCCTGAAGTTTTTTTAATATAATTTAACAAAACCAAAAAATAACGAAATTAGAAAATATTTTTATTTATTATTTACAATTTTGTTTTTTGTTATAATTCAATTGAGAATATTCATAGAGACTTAACATTTTGACAGAAAACTCATATTTGCTTTTTCTAGACTTGGTAAAATTTTCAAATATTTAAGATATTTTTAGATATTTAAATTTTGTGAGTTTTTTATGTAGTTTTATTTTATAGCTATATGTGGATATAATTGTTTCAACAAAAATGTTTAAAAATTTAACAGCATGTTCATTATAGGTTGTACTTAATAGTGAAAAAAATAAGTGTAATGTAATAATTTTATTTTATTGGTTTTAAGACTAAATATTGATGAAGATTATAAATATTACGCCCTTTGAAAATCATATATAAACGAACTTCGCTCAGAATCGTTTTTCGTTAGCAATGGTTTATCAGATATGAATTATGTGTATAATTAATATTATTATATGTTTATGTATTCTATCTTTCCGATTTTCCACTTACAACAGTGGCGCACCCATCGTCAGTTTCAACTACCTATTATAGTAACTGTATCAACTATTATTATAATAAACTACGTGTTAAACTCGAGCATTTTGGCTAGTACAAGCAAATTGTATTCACAAAAATAGAAAAATATTTTATGAAACGCTGTCGATTTTTATCATATTAGGTAGCACCGCTATCTTTTTTACAATTAATTTCTTACTACATATTTATCATACTTATCTGTGTGGCTTGTGTATATATTCATGTCAGCCAATCCTGATAATATTAATAGAATGATGAATGATGAATTATATTATAATATTTTATTAATATAAAAGAAGACCCTAACCTAACCTTAAGAAACTCGAAAGATTCAACGCTGATAGGGCAAAATAAAATATAAAACGTCCAGCCGCTGTAGATTTCGTTGCCGCCCGTTCGTGAAATTTTCATAGGTATCTACCAAACTATCGAGAACGCTCTTAAACATCGTTCCCGGTTACCGCTCTCACGGTGATAGTGATTTCGTGTACGCGCAGTACGACGTCGTGTTATCGCTGCAATCGGTGTCGGTCGAGGCGGCGGCGGGGTGCGTGCGGTGTAACCGGCACTGTCGTCTTGGCCAATGGGATGCGTCCGGGACCACTGCACCGGGGCTCGTGTCTCACACTCGTACACAGAAACCAGCAGCGCCCGGCGGCGGCGGCGGCGGCGTCGGTGGCGGCGGCGGGCCGGTCACCTTTATACCGTCGCCGGCCGGTATATACACGGTATGTGTTCTGGTTCATGGTTACCGGCAGGCCTCGTCCGACAACAACCGTGATCTTGTTCGCACCGCGACCCGGACGGCGAGTCCGACCCGTCGGCCGAAGTTTAAACAGTGGGCGTGCGCACGCGCGAGTGTTGCTACGGCGCGTGACGGCGCGGGGAAGAGGACGCTATCGACGTTTCGGGCCCCGTACAACATTCGCCGTATTCCGTGGCTGCCAGTCTGCGTGTGCCGTGTGTCCGTGCGCGCCAGTATAGCGTCTCTCAGTGTTCTTTTTCCGCCGTCCGTGCGGCTTCCCGGAGATTCTACACGCGCGCGCGCGCGCACACATCGTACGCACACACACAAACGCTCGCGCACACACGCACATCACCCGGCGTATTGCCAGAACGCTCTTGCGGGTGGAACTGTACGGCCGTGTCGTTTCTACTGTTTACCGCGGCGCTTTCGTGTCTCTCGCGGATTTGTTCGAATCATTTCGATTCGCGCCGCTACTAGAGACGGCCGTCGTTGTTGAGCGAGGCCCTCCGTCGTCGTCGTATTATAATTGTTAATTTTCGTAATAATATTCTCGTGTAACAGGAAGAGCCGGACGACTGACTTCTCGCGAAAGGGACGCGGCGGACAAGCCGAACCCGTTTACCGTCGTCGTGTTTTGCGCACGGTCGACGCGACAATGTAGGGAAATGATGATGACACTATCCGCCGAAGACTACCGCCGCGTGCAGGTGAGATGTTTGTTTATAATATTATTGTCTGTAACTATTATAATACTGTAATGTTAAGTGTAGATTTACGACGCCGTCGAAGCGATTAAAATATATCATTGTAGTGGTTCTTTATTGGAACATTAGGCGCGGGCCTTTAGCATTAGGTACCGACGGGTATCCTACGGTAAAACAATTTTCGAAAAAAAACAATAAAAAAAAGGAAAAAAAAAAAAACAACGTTTTTGTTTTTACCGGGGCCGGATCACCTAACCCGCTTATATTCGGTGTCCGTCGCGTTATAATACGGACAGACCGCGGACGTACCTGCCCGGGTCTCCCGCGAACCTATTGTGTATACGGAACCTATCGTACTACGATATTGTCGTTATTCTCCGAGCGCCCTAAAATAATATTCGATATCGTTCTAAAATGCGTTATTTTTCCAACGCAGTTTACGCGCGCGCGTACCGAATTTTACGCCCGTTCAAAACGAAAAAAAAAAAAAATAATAATATTATAGACGCGAGCGCACGCCTACAATGTACACATTAGTGATATTATTGTTATTATTTACCATGTGCGTGCGTGCGTGCGTGTGTGTGTGTGTGCAATACGTCAATTGGTCTTACCTGCAGCGTACTATTACAACTACTACTACTACACTCCGGCGTTGTTGTTGTTGTTGTTGTTATTATTATTATTATTATTATTATAATACTTGCCCACGAACTCGTTATGCCGTAACGAGCAGGCCATCCGCGTTCTTCGCGCGCACATAATGTATATTTTATTTTTTTTTTATTCTCCCATTCTTTATCCCCTCCGTACAGACCGTATTATCTGCCGGAGATCCGTATGGTCTTCCCGCGCGTACGCGTTTTCCGGACGGGACGGTGGTCCGTTACACCGCGCCGCACAGGCCGGCAGGCGGGCATAGGTTCACGGCGGCGGCGGTTGCTGCAGCCTCCGCAAACGGACCGGCCGCATATTTTTACAGGTATAAAAAACGCCCCTGCGCTCTTTAGAGCGGGCACGCGCATAGTGCAGGCAATAGTTGTGAGTAGGCAAGTTGTACCTGTTGTACTGTAACAATAAAAATAACAACAACATAATAGCGATACCGCAGTTACGCACATTTCGCCCGTAGCGACAGTATCGCGAATCCGATAATATCGGTTTTTAATATCGCGCGTCCCGGACCCCGGTGGCGGTTTCGACGGGTATCCGTCGCCACTATCGTTGTCGAATGTTTCGGGTTTAAATGGCAATACGAAACGTTTTCATTCTCGTCTCTAGTCTCTACACGTTTACAGGATCTGCATTTCGCCGGCGATTTCATTCGCACCGCATCATTTTAACCCTGGAAACGGGTTTCCTTTTGCAGTACACAGTCCCTCGGTGTTTCCCCCCTCCCCTATCACAACGCCTCCGCCGATTTCTCATTTCGACGTACGCGTGTCTAACCGGGTCAAACTTCTTAAAACCGGCGGACATTGCGGGTGAATATTGTGTTTTATTTTCCAAAAAACTTTCTAACTATTATTATCCATTATTGATGTTGCGGTACTATAGACGACTACTTACTACTCGCGAGAACCCGTGGGACCCGACCCCGTCCAAATGTCCACTAGTTTATTAAAGTTTTCAAAAGCGGGCGTTTAAATCTATATACCGACATAGAAATTAGAAGTCCGAAAAATAACGAAGGGACGGTATTTTCCAAAAATTTTCGAAAACAAAATGTTCCTAGTCTGTACAAATAAGAAGAAATGTTTTGTATTGTTTTTAAACGTTTGGATCCAACTATACGTATATAATGCATCATTACGTACGGAAAGCAAAGACCCCACTGTAGTATAGAACCGAAAATTCGTTTGGACCCAACTAGTGTACGACCAAAACCACCAAGAATCCCACCATCTCACCATCCCGGGATCCCACTCGGATTCAGCCGAATATAATATAAATACATATAAGAGGTACTAGGGAAAATCCATAAAAGTCACTTTTTCTTTTCAATCCGAGATCGAACACGGTTTTTCAATTTCAAAACTTGACAAAAATTTTTTTTTTTTTTGTACAAAGTATAAAGTTCGGATCAAGTCAAAATAATAGTATACGTTGAAATTCGAAACGTGATAAACGGAACCCAATTATATGTTCGAAACGCACAATAACAACCGCGTTGAAGATATTGTGTACGAGTATAACGGGAAAAGCGTCTGTATACCAGAAAGTGACTCTTCCGGTTTTTACCTTGTACCATTCACGGACAGCGGACATATAATATGTTTTTATGGAAATTCGCTCTGTTTAATGTGGTTACCGAGTACGCCTTTATCGGATACGTTATAAACAAATATAAACAAATAAATGGAATTCTTTGGTCCCGGGGAAGACGGCCCGAAGTCGGTTTCGTATACAGTTTCCAATACGATCGGGTCGATAAAATATGTTGAAAATTGCCAAACACGGTCTAACCGAAATGCCCGTGCTGTGTGACTTGATATACGCGATTTGTGACTTTTTTCGCCAAATAAATCTACATCACAATAATAGTGACCGAACGATGTTGTTTTCATTGGATTTTCAATTACGCGTGCTAATTCGATATACTTCTTGACGAATCAACCGAACATTACCGCGCTCTGTATGTGACTATAGGCGGTTACAACATCGTTATTATCGTTTCTATTTGCTATAACATTGTCATCGAGTGGTAAAAATCGCGCAGAAGAATAGGCGAATGTTCATTATAACATATCGATGGAAACCTCGTTATTATGTTACACAAAGCGGTCAACGGGGGCGTGCACCTTAATATACGCCGTCCTATTATAAACACGATATTTTATTCAACGCGTTCCAACCCTTACCTTTACCCTTCAATTTTGTTTTTTTTTTTCATTTCCGTGTAATAAGGTATCGGTATGGGTACCCGTTTGTTAGTTTAAAGTCCCATTGAATGCGCACACCCGACTATTCGACGCGTATGAAACGCGTTTTCTTAATTCCTACGTGCGGCGGCGGCGGGTGTACACATTGTACTACGCGGGTCACTTTTATGTAAACTGCAAATTGCCGCGGTCTATAATATTTTTCATCGGTATCTACGCCCAAGTATTGCGTTTTGTGTGCCGAGTATTGAGTGTGCGCGTCAAGACATTTCCACGACCGTATCGTTTTGTACGGTTTTGTTGTGTATTAATACCTATTGAATAGAATATTATTATTGTTACTAGTTAAAACCGCATTCAAATCGTCCTACATAATGTTTTTATTGATCCGCGCATATTATATACCATTTCATTATAAACAAGTGCCTGGGTTGTTTGAAGTGATATTTTCCATTTAAAACGTCGCGACCGCGCGGTGCCGTTTCCGTTTCCGTCGGACGGCAGAAGCAAAGTTCAAACGTGTCGATTTTTTCCTATTGTCGAGGCGCTGCTGTACCGGAAGAAAACGTATACGCTCCCCGTACTGGGGACACTGCAGTTCACTGTTGTCGGAGGAAAGTCGTGAACGCGGGCCATAATCTATTATAGGGTAATGCAATGTTTAACTGTACGCAACGATAAATCGTTGTTAACGAGAAATGATTCTGAGCAAAGTCCGGTTAACCATATTTTGAAATGACGAGGTTTCGAAGTATCCGGTGAAAATTCAAGTTTCAACGATTGAATGAACAGAAAAAAAATTAAAATTGAAAATTTTTTCGAACGTTTTTCCAAACTTTTCAGAAAATTTTACTGAAAATCAAAAAATTTCTTTCTCATCGCACTAACCAACCAATTTTTTTTTATTATTTTAATAGAATAATAGGATTTTCTTCAATCTGAAGATTGGTTTACAACAAATTTATTTACGATTCATCTTTTTCTCAATATTTCCCTGTTGTCTCAGTTGTCTGCCATATATTGAGCTTCTCGTAAGAAGCGATTCCTGTCATTGGTTGACTGATGTACTTCGTTCTCGGCTTTTATCTTGCTTGTGGCCCATTTATCATTCCTTATTCAAATTATTAAGCTGTATAATGTTTAAAAAATAATACGAGAATATTTTTTTCAATCAAATATGGGTTTTCTTATGGATTTCTTCTTTTAATAGTTATAACCATAAATATTTTGTCTATAGTTTACGAGTTGTCTCCCTATAAGGCGGACCGATTTTCACAAGAATGTTTCTTGCATGTATGCAATATTTAAATGAGTAGCTTAAATATTAATTAAATCAAATATAAGCTCTAACTTAAAATTACCCGTCATAGTGTAAATTTTTCAAAAACGAAATATCGTATCGCATAATAAGACGCATAATTAATTGCTTTTTATCTTTTAATACCTCTAGTCTTAAATTGTACACTTTTATTTTTCGTATAATATTTTCGCTTCTAAAATTAATCATTAATTACCATAAAAATAAAAAACCCTCATCTAATATCCATGTAAATATATTTTTTAAATATACCTTCGGGATATCGTTCGAAAACGAAATGATTAACATTTTGGTTGCTAGATTTTATATTTTACCTATTAGCCTGCAATCATTATGTCGTTCAATTGTTCAGTGTACATACTATAAATTCACTTTACAACGGTTTTGTGTTTTATATGATTGATTCTACAGAACTAGGAACATTTTATTTACCTATTAACTTATTTAGCAAAAAAAAAAAAAATTTAAAAAATCATTTAATTAAGTTAACGAACGTGTATACGTTAATAGAACTAAATTCGTTTATTTTCAATTAAACATATTATTATTTACAAAGCTATATTGACAATTTAATCAATTGTCCACTATACATACCTCTCCTCTTCCCACATTCAAATACGAATTTAACTACCAAGATATGCATTAAATGTTGTATAATATTATTATAATTAATTAATTCTAATCAAATTGATATAGTATATTAATATCGAATATCCTACTGAATTGTTAAACTAAACAAAGGATCTACAGGAGATGAACTGTTGAGAATTTAAAAAACTGAGGTATACTCCGTGAAAATCAGAAAAATGTATTTAGAATTTCGTAAAAATTTTCAAAATCACACGCATACACTAATGTAGTAAACCGATCGTAAACTGCACACCACTAAATCGGCTACTGCACATTCTGTATTTGTAACTGCACACTGTGTGTGCTACTGTATATGATTTTAGGGCCCGATACAAAGATTATTTTAGTTCAACAACGATAAATATTAAATTTTTATTTTTGTTTAAACGGTTTTTACCGCAATATATATTATTAATCATTTCGAAAAATACTTAATATCCGTACGGATATATTAGGCGTTCTATTGAAAACCATATTGGACATGTGTATACGATCGTATATATGTTTTGTACACACTGCACTATGCCACTAGATATTAACACGGACCGTTGTATTATTAAATTTTTCAAACATATTATGTAAGATTGTTATATTTTCAAGTTAATATTATATATATTATAATATATATATAGCAAGAAACGAACTAATATCATGGCAGCGTGTTATTTAACCAATAAAAAAGGAAATAAAAAAAAAAATACGCACATGCGAGAACATATGGCTTCAAGACACGATTCGTGTGTGTTGATTTAGTGACGTGAACTATTAAAACCCGTAAACATTCTTTAGAGTTTCAAACGTTTATGAGCAGTGTAATGTATAATACGCGCTATAAATTTTTAATTTTTACCATCGTATTACATCGTCATTTATTGTGTGAATTCGGTTGACGTTTATAACGTTTTACTCGAAGTAATGACATACCTACCTTAATATTATTATGACCAGTAAACGTTTGTGGAGTATCAAATAGTAATATAATAATATAATATATATCGCGGCCACTTCGTGAAATCGATGTTTTCGTGATAAGTTGTCCATTTCACGAGGAAACGCCTTTTTCACACTTCAAGTGAAATACATTATTACCTCGACATAAATATATATATATATATATAATAACAATAATAATATTGTCATGAAATGGTCACTTGAATTTTTGACATCGTGTAGTTTTTTTCGCAATGTGATCGACTATTTATTTTGCGCACCGAAATAAAATGTTTTCCGCGTACTCTGCAATATTGTATTGTTAAATATTATTGTATTTATGTAGGTGTTTATCTTTATCGAAATATGAAAAAAAAAAAAAGGGGTTTATTATAATTTTTTATTTCGTTTTTATTTTACTTATTCGAGAAAGACAGTGAACGGTGACATCGGCTGTTACGTTTCATGTAACTTTTGTAACAAGAACATCGTTTAGTCCTACAAACTGCACGTTTTCAAGAAAAACTTAGGAAACTACGATCTCTTGATACGACTTGACTTCACGCAAAGTCAATTATTTTTATTTAACAACTCGTTCAACCAAAATAAAATTTTTTGGTAGTATACGACTGCATATTTCCAAAAAATAGTTGTTTACCCATATAGATACACGGTTAATATGCTTATGTGGTTTATTTCGCCATGAAATAAACCACTAGGCCCATCTTAACTTATAGCAGAGCAGTATACAATGGTATAGGATACAATATTTTTAATATAATATATAATAGTTTTTTCAACATGCACAAAGGTTAAAGATAGTTTAATAATTCCGATTACAATACGGGAAATGAGCGTGTGTGGTTTATGTTTTGATTGTAATACATAGGTACAACGTAGTTGGATTTCAATTATAAAACTCAGTTCGATTATAATAATGATATCGCCGGATGTTTAAATTAAATACTAAGAGAATATATAATACTAATATATTACGATTACACAATACAAAAATAATAACTCGCGGATTGCACGGAGAGTCAGTACATTCGCGAGACTATGAGAGGATGGGTTAGAGAGGTGTTTATTACCGGTGGATAGATCTACGATTTTATATTAAATATTACTACTATTTGTTTAAAATATATTAACTATAAATTGGAATTTGAAACCGAAAAAAAACCCCCCGAAAAAACCTCTACATTAAAATAAAAGTTTCGGTCTTCTTTAATACGGTCTTTAAAGGTTCCAGTCCCTGCGGCACATGCATTATATACACTGTAGATACATGATATACGGGGTGGTGTCCTACAGCGTGTTATCTGAATGCTAATAATTCAGTTAATATTAATTTTTTTTTAAATCGAGTTTTGTGTCGGGAGACATCAATGTAGAGAAAAATTAAATTTGTACTTTAATCCCTTAATCATTGAAAAAAATAACTTAATTTTTTACTTTTTAAATTTTTCAAAATAGCTAATTTATAAAATATATTATTCTTAACATTTTAATGTACCATACTTACATATTATTTGATCATTAAAGTTTCTTTAAATAGCTATTTTAATTTCTATAAAATTGGTGTGAAAACAATAAAACCACTATAACTAGGAAAATATTGATCGAATATGAATGTATGATACATTCAAGTTTTTAGAATAATTTATTTTGCAAAATAGCTATTTTGAAAATTTTAAAAAGTGACAAATTAAGTTATTTTTTTGTCAGTGATTAAGGGATAAAAATAAACATTTAATTTTTCCTTACATTCCCCTTACACAACACCCGACTGAAAAAAAATGTAAAAAAAAAAATTCAGATAACACTTTAGGACACTCTGTAGATAGGGAATCAAAAACGCACACAAAGCGTTTCACGAGAATTAATTATTATTTTAAAGTGCTGTTGTTATGGTAAACTATTTTATATTTCCCTTGTAAATTAAAATAATAAATCGACTCATACAGGGTAAACTGTAGCCATTATACCTATATGTGGTAGATATTCATTTGTCTTATTAAAAGTTTTAAAACATTAAAAATATTAAATAAATCATTTTATATTGTTTGCACTTAGTACCTACCTACACACGTAACCATTTTGTCTGTTTTTTGTATAAAAGTGCCAGTACGATTATCAAGTCCAACAATGGCTGAATTATTCATAGACGAACGATTTAACCAAATAATGTTGCGTTCATTGTTTGTGTTCATTATTGTTAAATTGTTTTGAAATTTAACACTAACATAGAGTCTTCGAAACTTCGAATTTGGAATACGAATTGTATAGTATATATTCAAACGCAATGATTTTTTGCTGTTTTAAAGATTTAAAAATACAATTTCCCCTGACATGCTACAATAATAGGTATACCCACTGCAATATTGTTATATAATACAGTAAAACAAGTAGTGTCTTAAAAAATTAGACTAAATATATTTTAATGGTAATAAGTTCATAAATAAATACTATTTATACTATTATTATTGATTACCTAATCTACATCATTTAAAATTGACTATATAATATATTACACTTCTTTTTTGATTTATTCTTTTTGAAAGAGAGCCAAAGTTATTTTTGTTTAGCCCAGACTGCGGAAGCTATTCAATTTAGGCATATAGTGTTTTTTGTTTTTTTTGTAAATATACTTTTCGGAGCAGTACAAATGTTTAAAATGTTTTCGTCCTGCTTATTCTAAGGCAGGGGTAGTATACCTACTTTTTAAAACTCTCGAATTGGGTAAAATTTGCATTGTGGTAAATAAAAACAGTGCGACTTAGAATGATATTTCCACTGATTTGGAATTGTTAATTGCATTTTAAAGTAGTTGTGTTGCGTGCTACGGTGAAATCGACTACATACTTACTCGTATACATACACGAGTTTAGAGGTTTGGTATAGTTTTTATAATCTTAACGGTTTGATGTGAGTTTTGCGGTTATTTATACTTTGTTTATTTAATTAATTCAAATTCATAACAATTTTGAAAAAGCTATAAAAGTTGTAAAAGTTGTAAAATGGTTACGCTGTTTAATAAAAGTGTTCGGATTCTATGTAATTCCGAAATACTTTCTAATCGAACTTGGTTGGGTATAATAATATACAATTTATCGTAAAAAATCATTTCTATATTCCTGCGTAAAATACTATACTTAATTAAAAATATTCATATTCTAATGAGTAATGGTATATACAATAAAAATACCCCTTGGAAAAGATGCCTTATTATTATTATAATATATCCAAGTAATAAAGGGCTGCATAACGAGTTGAACTTTACACGTCAGAATAGATTGCTGAGTTGCTTAACGAGTTGAATCACGCAATAGGTATGTGATTTTGAATGCTATTAATTCATTTTTATTTTAGCTACATAATGATATTACTGTGTTTTGGGCAAATGCAGTAATATTATGTATATTAGTTTTCGAAATCGTGTTTTTGCGAAGTAACAACCACAATAATAAAATTCCATAATATTTTATGTTTTATCATTTTAAACTTTTAATGTTTTCTGTTTACTATTTTATTCCCATAACAATATAAGTGCACAGCTGTCTTTTTAATATTTAGATAGATATTATAAAACTTTGTTAGACGTTATACAGTTCGGTCAGTTCGATTTAAACTTATATCGTAACTATTTTTATTAGTCCAATGTACATTTTTTTCCTTTAAATTACCCGTCTATTATTCAACGGCTTTTATTGTCATAAATTATAATAATGAGTCGAATTTAATATTTTTCTAAAGATTGAAAATCTATGTAGTCACTCGAATATTTCGATTCTGTTGAATATCGCTATAGATTACTTCATTTAAATGTTTTAAATCATTATTTATGCGTTTATCGATTGTCTTAAAAAATATTATTTTTACCCCGTCAAATATAATATAGTTCTGATTTAAATCGCCTACGTTACATATTATTTCAATATATTTAGTTTTAGAATTCGTGTTGTTTAAAATATAGGTAAACATAATATGTATTAAACACTCGTTATTGTTTCATTTCATTGTAACATAATAATATATCTTACCTCTCTTAGGTTTTGTTTTTTTTTTTCGTAAATATTATGTTTGTGTATACGAGGTGGTCTTTTCGCTATGATATATTGAACTATTGTTTTGCCATCATTAACTATAGTTTTTCTATTTTTTCAATCCGATATTTACTTATACTTCCGCGTTTAATAATGTAATAATATGTACATCGCATATGCCAAATAATCGTGATAAATTTCCTTCTCAAAACCAAATACGGACGAAGGCCATGATGTGCATTTATACTAGCATATATATATATATATCGTACGTATCGTATGATATCCGAATCGATCATCCGTTTAGTCTTCTCATATAGTCGTCGTAGCTATGTCATAATAACGGCTATCCTCGGATTTCATCGAGATAAATTATTGTTAAAACGAGAAGATTGTGTGGTATACTGGCGTACCTATTATATATGACTAGTGACTACCTATATCCGACTTAAGGTCAGTCACGCAGAGCTGTCACGTTCCATTTGGGTCAGTTTGTAATTTTACCTAGCCCCACCCAACTTACAAAGAGGATGTAGATTGTAGGTGTACTGAACCAAAATTCCGGATGAACTGAATACTGGCATTCACTATTCAATATATATTACCTAGTTTATTGTACTTTTATGTTTTTTGTCATCACGGATATTTTTTAATACAATCATTTTCCGTTCGTATAATACGAGTATAATATTATACCTATGGAATAAAATATTGTTTATCGTTCCCAAACTACGTTATGATAGGTATAAATTCTATAACTATACGAATTAAAAATCATCTAAGTTGACAAAGTTCAGTATTTTAATAATATTATATTACCTACATATTATAATTATTCCTTTATTATTCCATTGTGAGTATTCATTAAATACATTGATTTTAGATATCTAAGTATTAATTTATAATGTTTTATGTTTAACTTCAATTAATTCAGTTTGTTTATTCAAATTATTTATCAAGAATAATTTAAATAAATTATTTTTGTTTTTGTATTTGGTTATTGAAACTGCAAAATATTACCTATTATTATTAGCATTAACTTAAATTTTAAATATCTATCTATATTATTCTATAGTGTTGGCACAATTCAAAACGTTTATTGATGTAGAATAATGGAGTTTAATTAAATCCAAAAACCATAGTAGGGGATGTGGAGCAGAATAATGATGCCACAGTTTTCTTAATAAATACAGTACAGTATACCGTTAATATTGGTCATAATTTCACCATGTATTATTTTCTCTGTATAAATATATATATAAACAAATTATATTTTAAATTTTTATACTAAAATGTCTATGAAATATTATTACGTTATTATCAATCAGTAATCAGTATACTATAAGGTTTTTTAAATAACTTGCTGGTTAACTTCTTTTTTTCTCTCTAGAAATTTGAATGTAAATTTATAGAAATTCCAGTTTTCTAGTTTTCTCTACTAATTTAAAGTTTTTAGTCGTCAAAATAAAAATTCCGGTTTTATATTTCAATTATTTATATAACATTAACATTTTTTATTTTGGTATATAATATAACTTCAAATACTTCAAACACTTTTAACGAATACTACAAATATGTAAGTACAGAGTAAAATATCCTCTTTGTACTTCAAATGAGAAAAATCTCATTATTTCAAAATGTTAGGGCAACTAATTTCTATCGAGCTCCCTCCCACATTTCACTTATAGCTTGTGATTGAAGAGTAATAGCAACAGTAATATGCAGTGGGTATTAAGAAAGCACAAATTTTTGGAAAATTAATTATGTAGACCTTAATTTTGTGCATCTAAAAACTAAGTAGGTGGTTTATTGTTTACTTTAAATTAAATCGTTTTGTAAACACAAAGTGTATGTTAATATTCACCCTGGGAGGTTAAGGATGTACCATTTATTTATTTTAAATACATATCCTACGAAACTATATTTATTGAAAACTGTCATTATTGTTTTGCATTATAGTCTGTTATATTGAAATTAATTACATTTTATATTAAATTTAATATTTATTGAATTTAGAATATTTAATTATACTGTTTTTATTAATGTTATTCGATTACCAAGTCGCATTAATCAAAAATGGAATGTGTTTTTATTACACGAATAAGTTTGTATTTTAATATAAACTTAAAGCATAAAAGTTTATACAGTTATTTGAACTTAATTAAAAACATTTTTGAAGTGAATAGAAAATGTAAACGAGTTTAAAATACAGAATAAATGGGAAAATCAAATTACTTATTTTCTAAAGAAAAATACTTATTGAAAAGTATATAAGGTTTATAAGATTCTTTCTCAACATTTAATTTATTTTCGTGAAAATCATTCTGTCCTTGGGATGTTATTGTAGCTTTTATCTCTGTATTTTTGCTTGTTAAATTAGATTTTAGTAATAGTTGAAAATACTTACTGAGTTGCTAACTAAGTAAGTACACAAGTAGCCAAGTTAGTTCTGAATTCACAAAAGGCGATCGAATATTTAAAATACTATGTCTGAAATTCTTCATTTAAAATGTTTTACACAATAACTGTATATACAATTCATATTTTAGAATTTTGTGAAATGTTTTTTTCAAATAATTATTATTAAACAATGGACGTTAATACAAACTGAAAGTCCAATAAAAAATATGACATAATTCATCATTAGAAAATATTTTCGTCGTTTATCCTCATTTATACCCTATTGGAAAGTAATTAATTAATTTAATTTGTGCTCTCTTGTGTAGAAATGTTTGCCTCCCACGGTCTGTATTAATTTAAAAATTTAATCGTTAACGTCATGCCCGTCCAATAGCTATGTTTATAACTGTCACTCGTATATAGATTAAATCTAAAATTACTTTTAACACATTTGGTAAATTAAAGTCAATTTAACGTTTGAATTTATTATATTTCAGAATAGACGGTTGTCCTCTACTAGTTGTTGCTGATTGTCGAAAGGATCACGACGACGTACACACGCAGAGTTAAGATAAATCACACTATGAAAAAGAAGAAAACAATGTCGAGTATTTTTATTAACGGGTTCTCGGGGCTGAAGGTTGCCCTTACAATAGTGTGGTTATTGACGGTATTCAGAGCACCGAGCGCCGGTAGCGATGGCGTTTCGCTTTCGCCTCATATGCACCACAACATTGCGATATTGCCCAGTGACGTTTATCCCGGTTTCGGCATCAAGCAATTCACCAGCGACAACAAGTACACGTTCTTCAGGCTGCTGGACACGGGATTCTCGCAGTTCTTTACCGTGCTCAAGGATGGACTGTTGATGACCACCACCGACCTGGGTCTGCTGGTCAAGCGGCCGGTCGACTTGGTGGTGCTGGAGGAGTCGCCCAACATGACGTTCACGCACAACATGCAGCTGTTCGTGTTGGAAAAACAGGAGATGCTTCGGTTCTCGGACGAAGACTATCCGAACGGAAAAGTGTGGGAGAACCGGGCACCGGGCGCCCGGGTCAAAGGCGTACCCGTACTGCACGCTTTCGGCGAAGGCGTAGCCGGGTTACCGATACGGTACGCGATTGTGGACGGAAACGATGACGGCGCGTTCACGCTGAAGACGGCGGAGAACATAGCCGGCAACATTACCAACAAGTCGTATTACAAGGGCGTACATCTGGTCACTAAGCGACCGTTGGACCGGGAACAGAAACCGTCGTACGACCTGATCGTACAGGCGGCCGACGGTAGCGGCATCGACAAGGCGTACACCAAAATACACGTCGATGTGGTGGACGAGAACGACAACAGTCCGGTGTTCGTGCAGGACCTGTACAAGATTAACGTGGACGGATTCAACTTGGGCCTGGACAACGGCTCGGTGGGCGCGGGCCAGTATTCGGCCGTCGGCCGTGTGGAGGCTACGGACGCGGACGGCGATCGGGTCGCGTACAAATTGACGGCGCCGAGTGCCGCGATTGTGGTCGTGCCGCAGACCGGCGAGTTGCTGATATCCGACGACGTGCTCAGGTCGCAGGAGTTCTTCGAGTGTCAGCTGACCGTCAACGCGCACGACTTGCGCGTACCGTCCCGTGTGTCCGAACAACCGGCCCGGGTCTGGATACAGTACAACTTCGTCGTGCTCGATGACGACATACTCATGCAAGACTTTAACGTGTACGACGACACGGCCATGGCCGAGCACAGGATTTATAAGAGACGCGTGACCCGGGCGGTGAGGCCCACCAAGAGAATCGAGTTCACCGAGACGGACGGCGAACAAGAGGGCCGGAGTGTGTTCCCGTTGGAAAAGGAGACCGAGAAGGAGACGTTTAAAATCCGGGACGAGAACCCGTGGGTGACGGTGGAGCCAAATGGTGCCGTGCGCGTCAAGAAGAAGTGGGATTACGAGGAGCTGGGTCCCGAGAAAACCATAGACTTTTGGGTGACGATCACGAACGCCGGCGTCGGAGGTACGTACGAGTTTTAAACAATTATTATTATTGTTATTATATAGGTACATTTCGCTATTATTAAGGCGGTGCTACACGATGCATACCATCGAGAACCTTTACGCACGAACGACGCAGGTAGCGCGAGTATTCGGTACAAAACTCCGAGGTATAAACATTGTTGCGATGTTTCGCCCGCAGTTTATTTGTACGTCGATATTTATAAATTATTCCGGTTATTCGCCCGGGCGAACCGTGCGTTATTCCGACGGACAACAGATTAATAAATCTGTTGTTCGTCGGAATATTCGGCCACAATAACGCGCGCGGCATATCCGAGATTCTCGACCGTTTCGGCCGCGCGCGCCGAACGGTTATAATAATATTGTTCGTTGAAAAAATATTCTACCGCGCAAACGCACTGCGGCACTCTGCCTAATGGACGTTTTATTCGGAGAAAAAAAAAAAAATAAAACAACGCGATTTCAACGTGAATTCCGCAAACGAACAACGGCAGAGTCCGCTCGGACCGAAAATAATAAATATCGAATTGCCGTTGTGCCTGCACGCCCGTCGCTCGTGTTACACTAATCTCGCGTCTACGAAATCTGCGAGAGGTTACCGTCCTGGTCAGTGCATAGGGGTAGCGGTCGGGCGCGCGATGTATTTCGCGGGCGGGTGCCGCGGGGTTCCGATAATTCCGGTGACCAACATGACGTGTGTTGGTCGTGCCCAAGCGCTGCCGCGCGCGGCGATCATACGCCTATCGAGTTCGTAGACAAAATTAACGAAAGCAAAAAAAAAAAATCGATTCGAAACCGGCAAAACGCGTTTTAGATAATATTTCATGAGCGATACGTTCGCGCTATCGGTTTGTTTGTTTGAAAAGGTTTCCCTCCGCTCCACCCCCACCCCTCGAGACATTCTTAACGCGTTCGCAAGGCTTCGGATAAACTTCGGATGTACCGCCGAACGCGAACGGTGCAGCGACGCGCGGCACGGCGATGATTTTCGGGAAAAATTTTCGAAAATCGTAACGCGCGCGATTTTATTGGTATTTTTCGTGATAACAGATTTAATTAATATTCCCGATCGAACCGGCCTGTAATGGAAAATCGAATGTACGTGTATTCATACATAACGTATTGCAGGTTTTGCGGAGTTAATTAAACGACCCCGTTCGTATAATATACAATGGGTGTAATAGTGGCTTGAATAAATTCGAGTTGATGCTTAATTGTAATCGTAATACGCGAGCTAAATAAAGGGATATATTAGCGGGGTTATAATAATGTGACGTATACCCGCGTGTGTACCGGCGCGTTTCGCCAAATTTATATTTCCAATTATTATATTATAATTGAGACGATTCAATTAATCGCGGTAATTTTAATGTAAATTCTATGTTTTTTTTTCCTTCCCTACAACTATAACTGGAAATCATAATTAAATAATAAATGTATAGGTATGCATAATAATAAATAATTGATCGATGTGGTTTTTTGAAATTAAAATTTATACCCGTACACCATAATATAAATCGCACGTAATTCTCCGGTATACACGTATACTATAATACTAAACGAATAATATTCCGATAATTCGGAATAATTATTAATTCGATTAAATCACTTTTAATCGAATATGCCGTCAACTCTGTAGCTGCACTGCTTGACTATAGTTTTGACGGAGGTTTTTGTGAAAGTCGTTATTCATTTATAATTCAAATGGTTTTCAACTGGAGTGTTCTTTATGTAGTGTATAGATATGTTTAGACAGCCATCGCAGTGTTATTTAACGGAAAATATACCGAAAAAAAAAAAAAAAAAAAAAAAAAAAGTCTTTTTAAAACGAGTACGTTCGAAACGAATCAAACCACTGCAGCAGACGAACGGTTTTCAATTAAAAATAAATAAAACAACCAAAGCGCGTGCTGTTTTTTTTTTTTTTTTTTTTTTNAAAAAAAAACCACCGCGATTTTGTTGTTTTAACGTACCTGTGTGTATAGTAGGGTAGGTGCGTTATTTCTTTGATTTATCAGCCCAAGTTTAAATGCGTTTTGATTAATGATTCGCAATTGTAAAACATGAATAAAAAAAAAAAAAAAAGTCTTTTTAAAACGAGTACGTTCGAAACGAATCAAACCACTGCAGCAGACGAACGGTTTTCAATTAAAAATAAATAAAACAACCAAAGCGCGTGCTGTTTTTTTTTTTTTTTTTTTTTATACACACATAAAATCAATTCAAATATTTAGTTGCAGTATTATAACTGTTTGTTCGGATCAATTCGTATTACGCGTACACACTATATACCTACCTATACTATAATATATTGCGTACAGACGAGAAATATTCGGTTTTTAATTGGTCGAATTGATAAAAAAAAAAAAATCCTATTACAGACGAGTCGTAATTAAAGTCAACAATATAACACCGTCGCCGCCGTTGTTTGTTATCAATGTACATATATAATCGTATATTCCATATTTTTTTTTTTTTTTTTTTTAAAGGACGCTATACACGCACGTGATGTTTCACTCCAATTAACGGGCGAAATAGCAATATCTACCTTACGCAGTCTGCGTATAATTCGTTCAATTTTGGTTTTAGCAACTAGGGTAGCACCTATCGTTAAATTAAAATGGAACAAGACGGTGCGTTTTTCCTATTATTCTAATTATTACTTTGGTTATGACGTTCAATACATCGTTGTTAAAAAACGAAATCTGATTTATCGTTTTTAAATGGCCGTAACGTAATAAATAATGAATTTTGAAAAATACACCCACCGTCTTGCCCACCGAAATATCGTCCTCTTTGAATTTTATAACAGGTGATTTTACTGTAAAACCAAAATTAAGAGAGTTCCACGCAGACTGCGTAAGGTAGATTTTGCTATATCGCCCGTTAGTTGTAGTGAGACGGCACGTCATGCGAGCATTTTACGAAAAACGGGTTTTTTAGATATTGGATTTTCTTAAACTAAGAATACCTCTTACATTTTACTTATCAAAGTATGATATGGATTTTTATGTGGTATTTCATCTGATCAATACAATGGAATAAAAAAATAAATAAATTCTGAAGTACCTACTTAACTTTGTACATTGGTCCTTAGTATAATTGGTATGTATAGAACTGTACTGAATAGACTCGTGAATAGAACCCATGGGTAATCGTATACATAACTAACAAATAACTGACATTGTATCATTTATAAAGTTTCTATATTATTATATTAACTTTTATTATATTTTCATGGTTTGTCGGTTACACTATTACGATAAGTAAAATCACAATCTGTACTAAGTATAAACGCCGCAAATTATTATTTTTATTCTACACCTACTAAACAAAAATGCGGCATTTTCATTAATTTGAACGTTATTGCTCTACATTGTTATTATACGGCGTTTTTATCTAGTAAAAATGCATTTTTCGACCGTTTACGGCATTTTGTCAAAACCAATATTGCTAACTGTCGTTTTATAAGATAAAAATACTTCAGGCATATGGCATCATCATATTGATCTA